TAAAAGTAGTTCTTCTCTTACCACTACCAAAGACAGACGTCTTAAGCTACTCTCTACAGGTTAAAAGCCAAACCTTTCACATGTTCGTGTTTTTGGAACGAAAGCCATGGTCAAGGTTTCAAAGCAGAAACGACGCAAGTGGGACCCCAAATCCCACGAATGCGTGCTGACGGGATTCGATGAAGAAACCAAGGGATATCGTCTATACGACCCAAAGAATTAATTAATTAATTAATTTATCTTTATTAGGGAGGCTTTCAGCCTGGGGCTGGTTCGCCTCCACGACACAAAGAAGAAGGTAACTATGAAGAGCCGTGAAGTCGTTTTCCTGGACGAAGGAGTCCCATCTGAAGCTGTAGCAAGGCAACGTTTGCCAGACTGGAAGTCGAGGAACCGTTCGATACCGTATTCGAGCCGATCATTCCAATTGAACCGACCCAGCCTTGCGAATCGGATACAGAAGACGAGAACCATGAAGCAGACGATTCAAGCGGCGATAACGATACCAACACATCCACATTGACTGACCTTGTGCTCCCTCTGCGACAAACTTCAGAACCATCTCGGTCAAAAGTGTTGAGGCGCAGCGGACGGGAGCACGTGCTTCCGGGCAAGTACAAAGATTTTCACGTTGATAGTACTGGCCTTCCTGGTATCTCACTTTCACAGCCAATCTCCGATGAATCGAGTGTCTTCCATGGTTTCCCCGTTGACGATAGCACTGGTGGACCGAGCGACAACGACGGTCTAGTGGCATTAGCATCTGGCATGGATGGCGAATTCGGAGACGACCCCATTTCTCATCAAGAAGCATTGGCTCGGGACGATAGCAATGCGTGGAAGTGTGCCATGCAAGAGGAGTTCGACGCACTGGTGGACAATAACACCTGGACCCTCACCAAGCTACCGAAGGGAAGGAAGGCAATCAAGTGCAAAGGAGTGTACAAAACGAAACGTGATGCTGCAGGAGGAGTTCAACGGCACAAGGCGCGGCTGGTCATCAAAGGCTGCTCACAGCGAAAGGGGGTAGACTACGATGAAACGTATGATACCGTTGTTCACTATAGTTCGCTGCGATACCTTTTCGTCCTGGCTGTCAAGCACGACCTCACGATCGACCAGATGAATGCAGTGACGGCTTTCCTGCAGGGTGACCTCGACGAGGAAATATACATGGAACAGCCCCCATGCTTCGTTGACGGAAGAAGGAAGACCGAGGTGTGCAAGCTGAACAAGGCGTTGTACCAACAATCAATACGAAACTAACGATTTTAAATTGGCTCACTACTTGACTAGCCTATTGGTCCCAAGCAAACGAATAACGTACCCCATTCTAGTCGAAATTCTAGTACTACGCAATGTTTGTTTTGATTCGCTATGAAAGTTTGACATATAAAATGAGGGGTTATTGGTTTTTTCTATGTTTCGAGGGGTGAATCGATTAGCTTGGGACCGAAGAGAGTACCAGAGCTGAGCCAAAAAGTTGAGCACGTTATTTCGGAACCGTCTAGTCTTAGAGTTACCTCTATGGTTGTACCATAGAGGTAACTCTAAGACCACTGGGTCCCGAAGAAAATCATTATTATTTTTGGCTCACTCAGTACCAGAACAACGGTCCCAAGCAGTCCCAAGCTATTTCACTCACCCCTGCATGTTCTGCATGAATCCACACACCCCTGATGTTATCTGTCAAACTTTCATAGCGAATCAAAACAAATATAGTGTAGTAATAGAATTTCAACTAGAATACGTTAGGGTACGTTAATCGTTTGCTTGGGACCAATAGGCTACTAAAGTGGTGAGCCAATTTAAAATCGTTAGTTTCGTATTGATTGTTGGTTGTACGGCTTAAGGCAGTCCAGCCGAGTTTGGAACCACAAACTGGATGCGTCTACGTCTGCATTAAAAATGGCAAAATTTTTATTGTTGCTATTTTTGTAGACGATTTAATGATATTCAGCAACGACGAGACATGGAAAAATATGCTGAAGCAACACTTTCCGGATGAAAGATCTAGGACCTACGAAACACTGTCTTGGGATCCGGATCGGCAGAAAAACTGACAGGATAACGTTGGATCAAGAAGCCTACATCGAAACGATTTTGAAGCGGTTCAACATGAATCGGTGCAAACCAGTGAAGGTACCGATGAACACTAGCGAGAAACTTTCCAAGGATGCGAGCTCGAAGGATGACGAGGAATCTGCTGCTATGAAGGATGTTCCGTATCAGGAAGCTGTCGGGTGTCTTATGTATTTGGCGCAAAGCACTCGACCGGACATACTGTTCGCCGTGAATACGCGGTGAATGTGATTAAACTGGTTTACGTTTGCACGGAGGAGCAGATCGCTGATGGATTAACCAAACCATTGCAGAGGACGAAGTTTGAAGAGAGCCATACGATGATGGGAATCTCTGCGGCTTGAGGAGGAGTGTTGAAGCGAAGCTGTTAGCAATCGAAGCAAGCCTTGACATTTATACTTAATTGTAAACGTCTTACATAAAAGTAGTTCTTCTCTAACCACTACAAAAGACCGACGTCTTTAGCTACTCTCTACATAATTGCATCGCAATATTTTGCATATTTCTTGGTGCCATTAATTAACCAACTAAGATCAATTAATCAATCTAGTTGGAATATTGTTTTTGATTCTAAAAACTAGTTGAATTTGAGAAGCACACGAAACATAAAGGTGATTGAATTTCTATTCGATTGCAATACTCTTAAATTTAATCTTACAAGAATGAGAAATCTTCGGGCAAAATCTAATGGGTATGTTCGATTGGCTCAGATTTTGGCAGTTCATTTGGCTCAAAACATTCTGAGTATTTCTAATGTATACTATCACCGCTACTGTTCCTCTTCGTAATCGACAAGATCATGGTAGGTGCAATTGATCGTGAGCTTTGGCATCCTATCACTATGGAGCACCTCAACGACTTCGATTTGGCTGATGATGTTGTGCTATTAACACAACGGCGCTCTGATATGCAGAGTAAGCTCAACTACCTAGCCGGACGCTTCTCTGCGGCGGGTCTAACCATCAACGTCAACAAGACCAAATCGTTGGATGTCAACACGGACAACCCTTACAGCTTTACGATAGCGGGGCAAGCAGTGGAGGAAGTCGAAAGCTTCCAATATCTTGGCAGCCAGATATATCGTAGCTATCGAGCTACCACTAGGGGTGTGCAGGATACATAATACCTTAATCAAAAATTACGGATAATCGAGTCTCAATAATTGAGTCCGACCTGTGAAAGTATAAAGTGAGTTTTATACAATATTTAATTTATTACAAATTTGACCATTCGGATCTACTGTGACATCAATCATATTTTAAATTTAGTCATATTTTGGTATCCTTAAATTCTAAAATACTTTTCTTCAAATTACACCATCCTTCCGGGGGAAAACCACCAGTATTTATTAACTGAATCCTCATTCAAAGTCTGAGTTAAAATTTTGATTTTGATTTTACGAGACAGAAGGGAGTCTTATTAAGGCCAAATGTAAGTCTCAAGGCCATGCTCCAGAACGTGACGTGATCATGGTGATCACGTCAAACTATAATGTCTAAAATGAACTACATGCCCCAAACAACCCCTAAAACGACTCCCATACACTCTCCATGCTGAATCGTGAGTCCTCCCTTTTTCCATGTCATTGCATGCAAAATATTAGCCTAATGCAGGTCAATTGACCTCCCTTAGCTCAGTCGGTAAAGGCACAGCTACAAAGCAAGACCATGCTGGAGGAGGTGGCTGGGTTCGATTCCCGGTCCGGTCTAGGAATTTTTCGGGTTGGAAAATTTATTGACTTCACTGGGCATAGAGTATGATTGTACTTGCCACAGAATTATACTAATGCAAAAATGGTACAGGCATCGAAAGCTCTCAATTAATAACTGTGGAAGTGCATCTAGAACACTAAGTTGAGAGCACGCAATAAGCTAATATGCCATACGCAATAAGCTTGAAATGCGAGGAAGAAGAGGTCAATTGAATATGCCTAAATCAATTAGTTGCAATGATAGTATGAACAGTAACGACATTATAATAAACTAATTGAATAAAATGAATATTCACCTGTTAATAATGATCGAGATTGGTGAAAAATAAGGGAAGCTGTTAGTTGATTTTACCACCACAGAGTTTGGCATTAGGGTGATGGTATATTATGATGATGCTGATTAGACGAATCCTCGTCGTCAGGGAAACCTCTGATATCCAGGATGATCAGTTGATCATCGCTACTTCAATCGCTGATAGTATCTTCCGAGTATTCGTATTCTGATTCCACCATTTCAGCAAACTGTTGGTCCGCTACATCACAACTGGCATCACTAGTGTGCATCTTTCAAAATGTAAAGATACAGACAAGCCCTGGGACCTGGTTGCAGTTAAAAGCAATCCACAAGGTTATGCCAATGTCCAGGGGATTCAGAAGAATTCTGAATTAAACGTATAATTCAAAATCTTAGAATTGGTGCAATTGGAGAATTGAAGAACAATAAATTCTTTTGAAGATCTTGGCATGTAGGTATATGTATGCAACATCCTGAGCTAAAACCGATTATGCCAAATGTCTTAATAAGCTTTAAAAAACAAATTAAAAACATTGCTCAAAAGAGTTTACTCGTTTTCAACTTCAAATTCCTTTAACTTAGCAGAATTCCAGTGAACTAAGTCGCAGGATCTACTCGCATCATTGTAGGGTTGCATTACAGCACTGGCGAGCCAATTTCCTTCCTACGCCTATTTGACCCTTAATAAGCCTACATAAATGGTACTGATGGCACTTACATTTTCTTAATAGCTTAGTTACACACCCCTATTCTGCATTTCGTTTCGAACGAAATTCTCACACAAAAAAATATTTTTTTGTATTAGAATTTCGTTCGAAACGAAATACAGAATAGGGGTGACAATATCGTTCTACAGGGGACAGAATCAGGGCATTCGTTCAATCAAAACCAAACAAATTTGTCGTTTGTTTCGTGCTAAAACTCAATATTGGAATAAAACTGAACTGCTCATAAATGCATGTGGATCTCATGTCTGCTTGATTTCCTATTCCGGGACAGTGGTTTTATGGGTAGTGAAAGGAGATAAAAACTAAGACCTTAGCTTTCTAACAGGTACAGCTTATACAACTTCTCGTTCGCATCCGAATCGAACCTGGGTAGAAAGTTTACCTTCACGATCTCTTCGAACCCCTCCTCCAACGATGGCTCTTGGTATTTTGACCTTTGTTTTAATAAAATAAAAATGCAAATACATTACAGTAACAGAATGCCTAATACATGTCAGTACTTACTTGTACATGTTGAAAACCATATCGTTGATCGACGCATGGGTCCGATCTGTTAGTTCCCGAAAAGTGTTGTTGTGCTTGGCTTGCTTGTAGGTGACACTCATCTTGAAGCATCTGCAAGGCACCTTCATCTTCCTTGCAATATCAACGAACCGCTTCCTGCTGTCTGCATCCGGATTAGTATTGTCCACCACAGCACGTTTTCCGCTTCGCAGGCTACTCTCAAGCAGCGAAGTACACTTTTGCCACGATCCCAAAGTGTCTCGGTTAATCGGAACGTATCCCTTCGGTTGCAGGTGGGTCGTCACAAAGTGACTCTTTCCAGAACCAGGGAAGCCCACCATGATGATAACCTCCAGCTGTGACGAAACCAACTTGCTCCCATGTGGGGACAAAATTTCGCGATTTTCCAATGCCAACTTCGGATCGAACTCAGGTTTCGTCCATTCGGCGTCTTTGGCATTTTGAAAGTGGACCTCTGGAATGAAGAAAGGTAGCCCCACATTGATGGCCATTAATCGATCTCCACAGGAGAAGTCTTTCTTGCGCTTTACTGGCTTCTTCTGCTCTGGACGACCAGCAGCATCACCCACGTAGAAGCTGCGAGCCTTGTCCACTTTGACGCCATCGTTTTTCTGAAACATTCAAAAGATTAACGTTACAATTTCCCATGCTAAACTAAATCGATAAACTAACCAATTGGCAAAGCGTATCCCACATTCCTGGCAAGGGTTTCCGATATTTGCCCTTTCCCGTGGAAACAAACACTTGAAAGGGGATGTTCAATTTTGCCTGAATTGATCCAATCTTTTGTTTAAAGTCTTCAATTTTCAATTTTCCCCTGGCGATACCGGCTTGATTCGTGAAAAGAACTATCTTGAACCCGTTTTTATGTAACGATTTTAGCTTTCCCGGCACCTCCGGAAAGGCAATCTGCCAATCGTCAATCGTTTTCGGAAACACATTGCCCGATTTGGTTTTGATCAGCGTTCCGTCCAAATCGTAGGCTGCTATCTTCTCCGAAGCAACAACGTCCTTGCCGGTGAAGACGTATATCTGCTTGGAATCTAAGTCTTCCCATTTGCTTTCCGTAGCTGGCACGGGCATTCCCTTCCTACTACCTTCCAGATCGATGGTAGCCGATCGACTGGAGCTGCTGCTTCCGTCCCGGTCATCCAGCTTCTTCTTTTTCTTCTGAGATTCCGTTTCGTCCTTTGAAATGGTTTTTGACAAACTTCGTTTATGAGACGCTCGCTTCTCCTTCTCACCATTCTGTTGTTCTTTGTCGTCTTTCCTCTCATTGCTTTTCTTATGCTTCTCGTCCGACTTTTCATCAAATTTAAACACAAAAGCGTACTGATAATTGCCAGGTAACAGCTCCAGAATGTCTCCATCGTGCGCTTCGTATCCCATGTTCTTTTCCAGTTGCTTGCCATTCAGAACCGAAGGATTTGATCCCAGACCCTTAACCAGCACGAATCCTCCCTTGAAGTTGGCCTTCAGGCAAACTGCTCAGGAATAAACATAATTTAGAACAAACAACACTCACGCCCACAAAAAAAAAACGAACCTTGTTGACGTGAACAGCACGGATCTTGGATCTTCGTTTCCGGGCTTCTGCCGATGATCTTCCGTTCCGTATCGATCGGAATCGGCGGATGCAGGTCGTTCAAAGGTTTCACGAAGCACTCTTTTAAGATTCTACTCATTTTACGCACTGCAATGATACGAAAAAGTGGAACGAATTTATGCAAACTGTTACAGCCGCTGGATCCGGTTCGAGTAAACAAAAACATTTTTTGAAAACTGCGAAAACTGTCAGTTTGTGAATTCACCACATGTTGCGCGCTCTTTTATGATTCCCCACAATATCGGTGGTGAATATCTTTTTACACTCAAAAAAATTATCTGATACCTAATGGATGAAATCCATGTGAATTTCACATAGCTTTATTGTGATCACATAGCAGCAGATCTCACCAAAAAATTACATGAATGTTGTGAGGCCGATGAAATGCATATTAAAAATCACATACATTCAATGTGAACGCAGAAATGTTATGTGTAATTCAGATGAATTCCATTAATTTTGATTATTGATGAAAATCATGTGCGTTTCCAATGGAAGCTACATGAAAACTTTTTTCGGTGTAGGTGAATATAATCGATGACGAAATAAGCAAAGAAGAAACGAGAGAAGAATACTAACACGGTGTTTGCCAAAAACCCATTAATGGGTAAAAAGTACCTGTTTCTGTCAAAAGCGCCTCTCATCCTTATTTAACTCTACACGGTACACGCTTATTCTGGTAAACTCAAAATTGAGTCGAATGTACTCAGCCCAGTGGCAGGCGCGTAGGCAACATGTTATACAGTGACAGCGGGCCCAGCACAGCAAAATAATTGATTTGAGCCCGGGACATGCTGCCTACTGTCAAACGCTGCTGTTGGTATAGGCCTTGTCACTAGCCTGAATGTACTCATCTCAGCGGCAAGTAGGGCTACTCAAAATTGACTTTTCCTAGAAAGTTTCCTCCAACATGGTTGACATTTTTTCTAAGTCCAAGTGAGTACGATCGACTCACCCGGTGAGTAAGCTGAAGTTAGCGTGTAATCAGCGTAAACACATTAAGGCCGTTCGCAATGCTGTTGTATTTTATAAGGCCGTTCGCAATGCTGTTGTATTTTATAAGGACTGTATCAATTTGAAATTAGAACAAAAACGCACCTCTCGCAATGCTGAGTTGCAGTTTCATTATTCGAGCACTTTTTTGCACCAGATTTGCAACTGCTCGACTATTCTGTTTTATTTCTGAGCGAGTTTGAAACACGAATGGAACTCTGTTTCAAATTTCGGTATGTATTTAAAGATGTTTCGAAGAACTTCACAAAAAAAACGTTTAAATTTTGAAACTCAGCATTGCGAACGGCCTAATGATTAAAATTTCACACATTTCGTGAAAAAAGAAACACTCATAAAATGTGTAAATTGCGGTGATTATACGTTAAAAAGCAATTTGACTGGTGTTCGGGAGAAAACTTTCGTAGCGGGATGAGAAAGAAACACCTCTCTGTTAGCAGGTTACTCAACGCAGCTTCAAAGCTGAAAATTTATTTCGGGGTTAGCTTGGGTCAAATCGTTTAAAGAAACTTACATTTTGGTGCCTTTATAAATTCTTCCACGCTAAATTTCTCCAACAATCCTTCGTGCAAATCACTGCTATCAAAATAGTTTAATTAAATATAAGTATTTCATCTTCCACTAATTCAATTACCTTTGTTGACTACAAACTACAAAGCCGTTTTATTAATATTAATTGAAACAAAGTAATGAACGCACTAACTCTTTCCACTAAATTCAATAGATTTTTCTGTATTGTTTACTTTCCTTTCTCTTTTCCTTTCACCTGACAGTTCCCATGACAGTTCAGCATGACAGCTGCGGTTAACGCTCGTCCACACATTCGTAACGGGTGTAACCGGGACTCACTTGGTAGCCGGCGGTGACTGCCCTGTGAGTTCGCCAACATTCCCCCGCCCGTGTAGTTCCGGTTCGCTTGAACTCTCCTCTTCTGGCTCTCCAGATGATTTCTGAATGTCCAGCAAAGCAAGCTTGGTTGCCGGTCGGCTGAACACCCCCCTGGAAGTGTGCACCACTGCTCTTCGAACTTGACCATCCTTTCCTGACACTACATCCGTGATCCTCCCTCGCAGCCATCCGTTGCGCTTGCCTTCGTCGACCACGACCACCAAGTCACCGGGTTTCAAAGGCTTTAACGGTCGGAACCACTTGGTGCGTCGGGTAAGTGTAGGTAAATATTCGTGTACCCAGCGGCTCCAGAAAGTATCAACTAGATTCTGGGCAAGCTTCCAGCTGTCCCGTAGACTTGCGTGGTCTTGCACCAGATCCCGGCTAGGTTGGTTGATGCCTTGCGTCCCGTAGACCAAGAAGTGGTTGGGCGTGAGAGCCTCTTGCTCCGAATGATCCAAGGGGATATAGGTTAGCGGTCTCGAGTTAACTATCGACTCTGCTTCGAGCGTGACGATTTCCAGGACCTCGTCACTGGGGTGATGTGGATGGTCTGCGATTGCCGCCATTGCCACCTTCACTGACCTGACCATGCGCTCCCACGGTCCTCCCATATGGGGCGCTAGGGGTGGATTGAATAGCCATCTCGTGCTCACATTTGTGAACGTCACACTACAGTGTTCGTCGATGGGTTTCAGCTGCTCCTTCAGCAAGTTGCTGGCTCCCACAAAGTTGGTCCCGTTGTCTGAGCAAAACGTTGCCGGGGAGCCCCGACGTGCCACAAACCTTCTTATGGCCATCACGCACGACTGAGTGGACAGGCTGTGGACGATCTCGAGATGAACTGCTCTGATGGACAGGCACGTGAAGAGCGCTACCCAACGCTTGACTAAGCTGCGACCTTGTTTTACGAAGACGGGCCCGAAGTAGTCCACCCCAGTGTGCGTGAATGGCCGTATGAAAGCGGTCAACCGGATTTCTGGAAGAGGCGCCATGATTGGTGCCCGAGGTGCTGCCTTCTGGATTCGACAATATTGGCACTACTTGGCTACCTTTGCAATCACTGCGCGAAGTTGTGGAATCCGGAAACGCTGTCGTATCTCGTTGACTACCGTTTCGTTGTTCCCATGTAGAAAACGGACATGATAGTGTTCCACGAGCAACTCCGTCACTCGATGATCCTTCGGGAGGAAGATTGGATACCTCATATCCTTTGTTACCATTGGTGCAGCTATTATTCGACTATTCATCCGAAGAACTCCATCGTCGTCCAGCATCGGAGTCATCGTGTACAACGCGCTCGATCCTGCTATCTGCTTCGGTTCCGCGTCCGGGTGCTCTTTGTTGTAACTGAGCGTGGCGTATTCATCCGGATATTCTTGCTTCTGCACCTGCTGCCAGATCAGAGTTTCGGCCCTCCGCAACTCTTCTTGCGTAAGTGGACCCTTTGCATGCATACCCAGGAACACCTTTGTCGCACGAACAACGTATCCGGTCGTCCGCTGTAGCCTCAACCACTTGGAGAATCGTTGAAAATTTATGACCGGCGGTGGTGTGACGCGATGATGTAGAAATACCGTTCGCAACTCCTCTGCCGTCGAAAAATCTTCCGACATGCCCTTTCGCCAGTTCTCGTCCGGTTTCATCAGGAAAGCCGGTCCTACATACCACCAGTCGTCGGGTCTGAAACTGGGTCCGTCCCTCCACTTCGTTGCTTGATCCGCTACGTTTACTTTTGATTGTACCTTTCGCCACTCGTCCACGGTAGTCGTGCTCAGAATTTCTCCTACCCGGAAGCCGACGAATTGATGTTATCGTCGTGTCTCGGATTTCAACCACGCAAGGACGGTCGTCGAGTCTGACCAGAGGTATCGAGCAGCCACTGGTATCGTCAGCGCCTTACAAATGTTGTCCAGCAGTCGGGAGCCGATTAAGGCTGCCTGCAATTCTAGCCTCGGTATTGAGAGGGGTTTTAACGGCGCTACCTTAGTCTTCGCGGCTATCAGCGTGCATCGAGGCATCCCATTGCACATACTCCGAAGATAAGCAACACAGGCGTACGCGTTCTCGCTTGCATCGACAAAGACGTGAATCTGCGAATCGTTCGGTGTAGCTCCGGTTGCCGAGAAGAAACATCTGGGGACTTTGACTTCACTTATATTCACCAGTAATCCGATCCACTGGCGCCAGTCTTCCAGTATTTCACCACTAATCGTTTCGTCCCAGCCCGATCCAGTCCTCCAGATTCGCTGCATGAGTACCTTTCCGTGAACCGAAAGGTGTGCCACCAGTCCTAACGGATCAAACAAAGACATGATCGTCCGTAGGACTTGACGTTTGGTAGGTGCATCCTGACTCTTTACAATGTTTCGAACCTCCTCCTTCAGACTGACCTCGAAACTGAAAACGTCTTCTGATGGTCTCCATACCATACCAAGCACTCTCTCTACATCCGAATCCAGGTTGAGGGACTTCTGCAGAACTTTGCTGGTTTCTCCTATGCGCTCGAGCACTTCTGAGGAGTTCGAAGAAAAGTCTCGAATCTCCATCCCATCCTTAGAATGCACATGTTTCACTTCCTCTATCAGCTCTACCGCTTCTTCTACCGTCTCCACACTGTCCAGGTAGTCGTCAACGTAGTGGTTTTCGATTATGGCTTTGGCTGCGCCAGGGAATTGGGCCGCGTACTCCTCTGCATTCCTGTTTTTCAGATACTGTGCGATGCACGGGGAGCACGCTGCGCCAAATGTAGCAACATCCATCACGAAAATCTGCGGTGGCTGCCTAGGGCACTCTCGGAATACGAACCTCTGCGCCTGTTTGTCCCTTTTCCGGATCAGGAATTGGTGGAACATTTCCTTTATGTCTCCACTGAATGCCACGCGCTTCTGCCGGAAACGCAGTAGAACAGCAGGTAGAGCGGTCAGCATGTCTGGCCCTTTTAGCATTAGATCGTTGAAAGAAACGCCGTTCACTCGGGCTGCAGCATCCCAAATCAGTCGTACCTTTCCTGGCTTATTAGGGTTCCTGACTACCCCGAGTGGCAGGTACCAGACGCGTCCCGGTTCCGTAGACTCCAGTTCAGCTGCAGTTATGCGATGAGCGTACCCCTTTTCGAGATACTCTGCGATCTGTCCCCTTACCTTCCCGTCGAGGTAGGAATCCTTGGACAACTTCCTCTCGAGCGCTTCCATTCTACGCACTGCCATTGGGTAGCTGTTTGGAAGGCATGGATCATCG